TGTTTAGCACAGTAAACTCTGAAATTGTATCTGTTTTTGAAGAATGGCCCTGAATAGTTGTGTAATTTCACCAATGCTCCCTTAGTCTGGCCTCTGACACACCTGCAGGGGCTTCCTAATAGTCCAGTTTTAACTTGACTACAGAATGTTTAGTGCCTTCGTTTGTTGGAGGGAAAAAAAAAATCCCTGTAATGCCACAGGATTTTTTTTTTTTTTTAAGAGTTGGGGGAAGAGGGACTCCTACAAAGGAAAAGGAGTTCTCAAGCTGCCTGAATATAAAGGATGAAGGACAGCAGCTCCCCACCTCTGTCCTTCCGATCATTTTGGAAGTTCACAAACACGGAGTCCACATTGGTTTTCTCCTCCACATACTCCAGTGTTGCTGTCAAACTAGAGGCCAGAGAAAAACAGTTAATGACATGCTTAGCCAAGCTCAATCTAGAAAGACACCCTAGTTGAAGCAGAAGAAATATTGGTCAGTTTCTTCTCTCCAGCCACCCAACACTAGATTTAGTAGCTTTTTCCTCTGAAGCCAAGGGATTGCACACAAGCCATAAAGCAGGTCTAGGAAGAAGGGACTAGCTCAAAAGTACTTCCTGTTCAATGATTTCTGGATCCCCACTAAGTCCAGCAGTTTCCCACGAATTGTTACCCTCGTTCCCCAGATCCTGGCTCAACTCAAAGACTCATCTCCATGCCTCTTGAGTGTTTTGTATCCAGGCCCACTTACAGATTGTGACATGATAGAAGGGTGACATTCTCCGCCCCTTCCTCCCCAACTCATCTGAATTTAGTCACCTTTCCCGGTTGCCCTGATCCAAGGCCCGAAATGGGATATCCAGGAAGAGCCGGTGGTCACTAAGAAGGCCGTGCCAGTGGGTGGAGGTCTTGGGGGTGAGGCGGAAGTGGAAGTCTAATTGTACTGGATTCCGGTGGAGCAGGGGGTCAGTAGTGAGCACTGTCAGGTTCCCAGCCTGGAAGAGGAATAAAAATGAGTGTAATAGTCCCCTGCTTCTGTGTTCATAGTCCTCAAATCAATTATCAGATTTGGGTACATCTATGAAACCAAGGAGGGGGAAGATAGAGGAGCCTCTGAGAAGTGGAGCCAATGTTTTAAGGATTCAAAACTATCCTTTAATCCTAGGAACTAAAACCACCCCCTGTTACTGAACTCTAAACAATCTGGCTAAGTTCAAACTGAGCTTCATTATCTAGATCCTTTCCCACTCACTATTCTTCCCCTTTTGTCATTATGGAGATTCTCTCAATTCCCCCCTTTTCTCATTTAAAATGCAGAGGTTATGAGTAGGCATATTACTGCCATACAATACCAGAGCAAGGGCAGGAGTTCTGGATTGTAGACCAGCTTAGCATCTAAATAGCTTTATGTTCCAGAAATCCAGAAATCCTAATATAGTCCAGTGTACTTTGGTTCCCACTTTTTTCCTCATCCCTCTTCACTACCAATTGTATGACCTTAAGATCTCTGGGCCGGAACCCTTCTCTATAAATTAAATAGCTTTTACACATGAGGTCTGAGGTCCCATCTGCTAAATTTGCTGACTCATTTTCCAAATTGCTAACGCCCCTCTGAGAGGTATTACAGGGGCTGCCCTGCCACAGCACTAGCTCACAGTCCACTTACCGAGTACAGTTCTTTAAGCTGGTCGTGGTCTTTTCCCTGCTCAGCACTTCTGCCCACCTGGAGGCCTACTGGGGACTCAGGAGCACTGGAGGCAGCAGCGGGGCCTAAGGGTCAAATCCTCGTGTTCCTTGTAAGTGTAACTGGTTGGGAGGGAGAGACAATTAGTTCACATTGAAATCTGAGATGAGAAGAGAGTCATACCTGGTACCCAGGGCCAGGCAGTCTTCTGTACTGTCCACATTACCAGTCTGTTTTCATTTTCCCAGGTCAGCCACATGGAAAAGTTAGTTTCCATGCCATCTTTCTATTCCCATTTTGCTATTATTTCCTGCCACTTGGGGAAATTCTTTGAAATTTTCATTTTCCCTTACAGTTTATAGAAATAACCACAAATAAAGATGAAAAGTTACCTTTTATAAGGATAACACCAAGGCAGCATCTTCTCCTGGAGGCTCATCCGGTATTTGTAGGAGTAAAGATAGTAGGCGTATGGTGACCAGGTGGGATAGCAGGGATAGCAGCAGTTCCGTGATCTTCCCCTCCTGAGACAACAGAGGGAGTAAAGGGAGGGGCGGGACCTGTTACAAGGCAGTTTCTCTGTTCAGTGCCTCCCTGCGGCAAAGTGAGCTCCACAGCTCCAGTCCCCTTTTTCAAGCATCCTGTTCATTGTGACCTGGCAGGCATTATGACATAGATGAGGGGTCAGCCCATATGTCATTTCAGGGCCCCACCCTATCACCAAGGTTCATATTTAAATACTATGTGCTTCATGGCAAACTTCTGTACTGGTTGGCAAATAGTCCTGTCTGAACACTAGTGCCCACCCTCCCTGGCCCTTCCTCTGAGATGCCTCCTCCCCCTAAAATCCACCAACTAAAGAGTTGGTGTCTGATACTTCCAAGGCCCCCATCCTGCATTGTCATCATTAGTTCTCAGTTCAGTTTTTTATTATCTCTTCCCTTAACCCAGGGGTACTACAAATTGTTGAACTTTCTCCATTGCCTTATAGGGTAGGAATTACAAACTACATGCTTCCAGGGACCCAGACAGCTAGTGGAGCTGCAGGGTAGGGCTGTTAAAAAAAAAAAATGGGGGGGGGGGGCTGGGGATGTGGCTCAAGTGGTAGCACCCTCACCTGATATGCGTGAGGCACTGTGTTCGATTCTTGGCACCACATAAAAATGAAGATATTGGGTCCACCTAAAACTAAAAAATAAATATTTCAAAAAAAATGGGATGCTTATACCCCATCTCAAAGAAGTCCACACAACTCAGCTGCATCTGGTTGTCATGTGGAAAATGCAGAATTGTGGTGCCAGATCTTATAATTTTTTTTTAACAAAAACTAGAAAGACAGGATTTGTGGTAGACTTCAGTATTTAAAAATATACTGGCTACTGATGATAAAAAATTAACACTGTGCTGGGTACACTGTAATCCCAGTGACTTGGGTGGCTGAGGCAGTAGGATCACAAGTTCAAGGCCAGCCTCAATAATTTATCAAGATCCTCAGCAACTTAGACCCTGTCTCAAAATAAAAAGGACTGGGGATGTAGCTCAGTGATAAAGCACCCCTAGGTTCAATTTCCAGGACCAATTTTTTTTTTTTAATTAACACTTTGAGCAAAGTTTGGTTAGGGGGCCACTAGTCGAAGACCTCTCTGCATATTCATTTAACCATCCATTCAACAAATATTTGAGAGCCTACTATGAGCCAGGTACTATTCTAAGTGCTTGGGACATATCATTGACCAATACAAAGATCCTTCTCTCCTAAAATGAGAAAACAAACCTAGAAAATAAACAATGTTAGAAAATAACTGCTATGGAGCAGAGGACAGGATAAAGGGAAATTAAGAGTGTGAAAGGGATAGAGGAGGGTCGTAGTAACCAATTATTCAAATGGACCCCACTGAAAAGGTAACATTTAATAAAAAAATTTGGGGAGTTATGGTTGTTAACCAAGCAGTGTCTGAGGATAAATCGAGCATTACATTCAGAAGCAACAGCCAAGGCTGCAGGAAATGTGCCTAGGGTTTTCAAGAAACTGCAAAGTGGCCACTGTGAGTGGGACAGTATAAGCTGTAGAGCTAATGAGACCAGATTATATAGTACTTTCTAGATCACTGTATGGATTCCCCCCTCTAGGTAAAGGGTAAGTCATTACAAAGTATTGGGTGGAGGAGTGCACGATCTGAATTAAGTTTTTAGAGACAGTCTTCTGAAGGCTATAGTACAAATAAGCTGTGGAGATCTGTTGGGAGAGTATTACAATAATCCAAGAGAAAGATAGTGTCTTATTCCAGAGCAGAGCACTGGAGGTGATGGCAGTTGGATTCTTGAAATAGTTTAAAGGTAGAACCTACAGAATTTCCTGATGAACTATGAGAGGAGTTAAGGTGAGTCTAATATCTGAGTTTCCTTCAACTGAAATGGGAAAGGCTTTAGGTGGGGCAGTTTGGGGGAAGAACAAAAATCACTTTGGGGACATGTTAGCTTTGAGATGTCTGAGTCATAAGAAGATGATGAGGAGCTGGGGTTGTGGCTCAGTGGTAGAGCACTTGCCTGGCATGTGTGAGGCACTGGGTTCCATCCTCAGCACCGTGTATAAATAAATGAACAAAATAAAGGCCCACTTTTTATTTATTTATTTTTTAAAATAAAGGAATGTCTTAAAAAAAAAAAAAAGAGCTTGGCGCCATGGCGTGCGCCTGTACTCGCAGCAGCTCCGGAGGCTGAGACAGGAGGATCGGGAGTTCAAAGCCAGCCTCAGCTGGCTCTAAATACAATTCAAAACAGGGCTGGGGATGTGGCTCCGTGGTCGCCCTCGGAAAGGGGGAGAAGAGAGCCGGCCAAGGGCGGTGTGCGGAGGGCTGGTGTCCAGGAAGCCTGAGTGCCGAGGAGCGGCGGCTGCGGCGTGCGGAAAGGCCCCGCGGGAGGAAGCACCGAGCGCCCTTCCACGGCCTCCGCCAGACAGGCCCTCCGCTGTCGGTGCTGAGCCCGGCCGCCGGGGCCCCTGGCCTCCCCGACCCGGCCAGGCCCTCGTCCCTCGGGTTCGGAAGCCTCCAGTACTGGCGGCCATGGGGGGCAGCTCCTGGGGGGCAGCTTTCCGGAGGATTCCGGCCCGTTGCCGTCTTCAGAGCGCTCTGAAGGAAAAGTGAGAGCGGCCTCTTCTCCAGGGTCCGGCCGTCACTCAAGGTCGGGTGACTCCAGAGAGTGGGCCCAACCGAAGCCGCCTGGCACCGCACGCCTCGGTTGGCACGCGCCGCGGAGGGGAGCCCAGCGCCGCCGCAGCGCCCGCCCGAGCCGGGCGAGGGAGGCTGTCTTCACGCAGCGCCTCCACGCCGGCCCCGAAATGAAAACGCCGAGAGGAAGCGGGGCCGCCGGCCAGCGCCCGCCCCACGCCGGCTCAGGCGCGCCGCGGGCAGCCCGCGGGGCCTCCCTGCGCCTGCGCCGGCGTCGGGACTTCCGGTGCCGCGAGCCGGGCCATGGCGGCCGCCGCGCTCGCCGCTCCCCGCGGCTCTCCGCTGCTAGCGGCTGGTGCGCGGCTACTGCTAGGAAGAGGACGGCAGCCGCTCTGGCCGCGGCCTGCCGGCGCCCCCCCGGCCCTGGAGCGCG